TGCTCCATGGCGGCGTCGGCGTGACGATCCACGAAGCCCTCCCACCACCCCGCCACCCCACCGGAGTACTAGTGGCCATGCGCCAGCCAGCGGCAGCGGTGGCCACGAGCACCGAAACGGGTAAACCACGTCCAAAAGCATAACAACTTACCTCGTCAAAAGGAGCTCGGCCGGATGCGCAGCACATTATCAAGTGCCCGAATCTTTTTTCGCAGGATGTGGGGGGAAACGGCAAATACTTGGGCGAGGTAGCTGAGGGCCGAGAAGCAACGCGTATTTTACAAAACGATGGAAGCTGCTGCGGGCGCTCTGCTCCCGCCCGTTTCCCGCGCCCGAACGCGCCACTTCTGGCCGGCAGCTTCCCGCTCGCCCTCGAGCGTGGCGAATGCCATTCAGAACAAGTCCCAAGGGGGGATCGCGCGAGACAGGAATCTCTCGACGTGCTGGCAGGCGTCTGTGTCTGTTAGACTCCACAAGGGGACCAGGCAACGCTCCTCGGGCTGAGGGGGGAGCCAGCGAGAGCAGCAGCAGCGGCCTCGAAGGGAGGGGGGAGAGCCCGAAGAGGCGCAGTGGTCCTGAGAGTCGCGCCTGCATCTTTTGCGCGCGCGCCGAGGTCTTCACTGGAGCCGCCAGCGGCTTCGAGACTACAGGCGAGAGGGCGTGCTGCGGGGTCCATCCCGAGCGCCCGCAGGGTCCCAGAGAGAGGGCGGCCTTGGGGGGCGCCAGACGTGAGGGTGAAGAGCTCCTTCGCATCCGGTCCGATTCGCAGGAAACCAAGTAGGCTGTGCATGAGGGCCCAGATCGCGCAGCGTTGCGTGACTGATATCTGAAAGCGGCGCAAGATCTTGCCTGGTCAAATCTGGCCCATGCTAGGAAACGCGGCCTTGAACTCAAAACTCGCAAACGCAGGCATGCGACGAGCGGTGTCGTCCCCAAGACTGGCTGCGCGGCACAGTGTGTTGAGACGTGCGATGTGTCTGGCGAAGTTTATGCCGTTCACAAAGCCTTGCTCCGCGGCGTGGGTGTGTTTCCCCGCGGCGCGTTTGATCCTGCGATTTATACTGGTGGCCATCGCCTTGGCATCGCAATTTTTGAGGCTGAGACCTGGCTGCCGGGTGCAATCTGTCGGGTCGAGCTCTTCTTCGCCTTTGGGAATGGCCGCGAGCTGTGATTGAGGGTGGGGGTGGGGGGGGGGGGGCCCTGGAAGAGCGATAGGAGGAGAGCGTGAAGCACTGCGAAGGCGTCGGGTGGGCGAGCCAGGCTTTGTGCGTGAGCCTATCGAGGCCAGGAGACGAGGACTTCCCCCCCTTGTCTGGGCCCTGCGAAGGTCCTGACGCGCTCCTGAAACGCTGGCTGCCAATGGGCTCGAATCGCCTCATACATGTTTTGCCCGCGTCGGGGCGCGGTATCTCCGTGGCCCTCCTGGGCGCGTTGAATGCCCCGGGGGGCGAGACGTCGGTCCCGGGGTTTCCGCGACAGGGCGCGGCGAAGCAATGCGTGCCGAATCCGTCCCCGGGACAGGCTGCGGTCCCGATCGGCGTCTCGCTGGTTGGCGCGCGCCTGCGTGCGCTCAGCGCGGGCGTCGTTGCTGGCGAGCGCCTCCGTCTCGAAGCTCCGCGCGCCGCGGAGCGCCGCCGCGCCGTTGCCCAGGGCGCGGTGGGCGTTGCAGGCGGCGGTGCGGTCGACCAGCCGCTTCGCCGGCCGGCAGTCCTGGCGCCGCGCTGCGAGGGCGATCGCGCGCAGCGCCATGCGCTTGGCCTCCGGGTCGTCCTGCGAATTCTCGCCGATGGGCGCCTGCAGCGCGATGTTGCGGGTGCTCTCCGCAGAACTGGGCATCTGGAGCTTGGTGCAGCCCCGCTGCTCGATGGTCGTCGTGGAGTCCAGGTCGCAGGCGTCGATGCAGTGCGTCAGCTGCTGGCGATAGGTCTGTGGTGAAGATGGAAGCGGGGGTGCCCTGGTCCTGCTTGGACGTCAGCCCGTTGCTCCAGCTTCAGCTCAACCATGGCCTGGTCACTCGCGCGCCATGCTGCCAGCTCCGGCGCAGCATGGCGGAGGTTCACCACAATCTTTATTTCCTTGACGAGCTGCGGGGGCGTGGAAAACGGATATCCTGTCGATGTGAGTCATCCGATTGGCGTTCCTGCCGGTGTGTGTGTGTGTGTGTGTGTGTGTGTGTGTGTGTGTGTGCATGTGATTGTGTGTGTGTGTCTGTGTGTGTGTGTGTGTGTGTGTGTGTGTGTGGGGGGTGGGGTGGGGTGGGGTGGGTGGGTGGAGTGTGTGTGTTGTGTGTGTGTGTGTGTGGTGTGTGTGTGTGTGTGTGTGTGTGTGTGCGTGTGTGTGTTGTGTGTGTGTGTGGGTGGGGGGGGGGGGGGGGGGCAGGCGTGGCGATGTCAGTCATCTTGTTGGAGCTCTTCATGCGTTGTCGCCAGGAAAGTTCCCCATGGATGGCTCGGGTCCATGTTGAGGTGCTCGCTCTTCGAGGAAGTGGCCTTTAGGAGAC